TGGCAAGTTTTGTCCCAAGTACTTGGTCTTTTTTGCAAGTTATCCAGTACTTGTTCTTTTTTCTATATTACATACGTTTCTAGTTATCGATCAAACGCAATTCTTTCAAACTTTTTCAGGATTTTTCGAGATCATAACACAAAGCAGCAGCAAAGAATGATATTGTAGAAATGCTATTACTTAAGTCGGGCGCAACTCTTACTTCCCTTTGACGAATGACGACTCAGAAAAGCGACCAATTATCAACATCTATGATGTAAAATTTGTTCTGAGTAAAATGTATAACGATGTATTGTTTTTACTAAATACTTTATCCCGTGCTTATTCCCTATTAGTTTCTACTTACTTTTATTACTTCTTGATCTTCTTACCTACTCGGAAGCAACCAGTAATAAAATAAAAAATAACAATAAAAGCAGTAATTCTTACTATTATTGTTCTGTGTAGTAAACTAATACCAAGGGTAAAGTGGCACCTCTAATGTCTAGGATGAGAGCAGGTGATGACTTTGAAGCGTCCTAATCTGTTAAAACATCAGTGAGACATATGAAGTCACATGAGCAAGCACATACCTCAACATTTGTCTCCATGCACATGAATTTCTTACTCATGCAAAACGCATACCTTAAGAAAGTCAAGCATTATCGATTTTTAGCTTCGTTTCTTCTTTCTTGCTTCGTTTTTTAAACGTGATTACACCGTATTTTACTCGGACTTTTCTTCGAGAATATGATGCAATTAGTTTTTTAGTCTTTCTCGACCATCTGGCACTCTCACTATGCCATAATCTTTATGTACAAAGGAAAATAAGTCGTTTTCAATGGAAAGTTCATGACAGTTCAAAGCGAGTACACAGCAATTTTGACTTTCTACTATTCATTCACTCGACCTTCTAAAGTCTTCATGTTATCTTTTGTTATACTGCTGAATATAATTTTCCGATAATCTGTGATGTGTATTCGAAGTTAAAGGTTCAAATTATTTAACTTTTTATCCATTTCTATGAACAAAACGCAGGTTAAAACATACAAAAAATGCGAGTACAAATGGTCGTCATCTTCACAGTACGTTAAAAAGGAAAAAACGGCGGTGTAGACAACGTGCATTATTCTCTTGAATGTATATGACGTCCAAATGTCTACTGAATACACAGACACGTCCAGCCTATTTCTATTCATCAAGTCGCCAGCCATAAAAAAAACGTTCAGAAAATGACTTATCGGAATTGCTGGAGAATCGAAATACTGAAACAAATAAGACGTGTAAGCTGTTTTTGATATAGAAAAACGTTAATTATTTTATTTCAATATTCATCTTGCCTTGAAACTCAGGCGTTTATAAGTGAAAATGATGTAATTATCTACGCACTTTCGATTTTTTGTGCTAACATAGAGGTTTTACGTGGCAACAATCACAGGAATTTTTGATAAGTTTTTTATTTGTTTCTGTGAACCAGTAACAAATGTGGTAGAGATTGGACTACAGATTCTAAGTGCATTGATGACTATTTCTTAATTTCACTTTGCAACTATACAGATTTGAAAGCTCATGAAAGTTTTCTTCAGAAAAAAAATTATTTGGTAACCAGAAACAGCTTACACATGGTCTAATTCAATATATTCGAGAAACTAGCTTCACCAACACCCTTGGCGATCTGGTGATATATACTCACATTGAAAGAACGAAATCAAAATTCCGAATTTCATTGGTCGAAGCAGATCGAAAAGACAAGACAGAGAAAAGTTTGGCTCAAGAAAGTCAAGCGCTTGAGATAAGAATCTCATGCGCATCAGTTTCTTGAGATATGAAACTCAAGCCCACAACGAGTTATGCATAAGTTTTGCAACAAATGTCGAACGCTGTTTCTCTATGCTTCTACCATTCTGGAGCTTGCACTTTCTTTTTGTTTGAAAGGACAAAGTCTGAACTACAAAACGCGTATCAAATAAATTATCGCTCGCAAAGGCTCATTGAAAAAAATTTAAAAACTAAACATTACTAAAAATGTACTGGTAAATCGGCAAAATGTCCGCTCTCTATCTTCTACGGAGCGGTTCTTTCTGGCTTAAGGATAAGCTTGACAGATGACTGATTATTGCATCTGAGAGTATTTGAAACGTTCTTTCGAATGGTGTGCAATACATTTTCCTTTTATTCAGCCTCTGTGAAGAAATAGTTGTTTATTTGAGGACCGTCAGAAAATCAGTTTATTAGCGTTAATTACCAATTCTTGAATTAACAGATGAACTTCTTTGCAGTTTGAACTGTAAAGTGATCTTCATTCAATTTTCTACAATCTGATGTAAACAAAAGCTAATCTCATTCACTTCGTATTTTATTTGACGCTTTTGCTGAAGTCCCCAATTGCTACACGCAATTCTCTATTTTCAGAAAATCTGACTTTTAGAAAGCGTCTCAGAAACCACAAAAAAGCAACTTGAAAATTCTTAAGGAGATCAGATCCATAGAATTTTTCACGGGCTATTTTTTCGTGTATTTAGTTTCAACAAAAATTTATTATTTTTGACATCAGTGAAAAACTTTTCTTGATATGCTTTAGTAAAATTTAACCAGACTATTTTAGTGATGTATAGTTTTTGAATTGTTTCTCAATAAAATTTGGTGAGAGAAAATTTGATGCACCTTTTGTAGTGTAGACTTTGTTCTTTCAAACAAAAGGAAAGCAAAGTCTCTGGAACAATAGGAGCATAGAGAAACAGCGCTCGACATTTGTTGCAAAAATTATGCATAACCCGATGATCATCATCACCACGCATAGTAAAGAGAAACATTTATTTCGCTTTTTTTTTCTTTAAGTCAACAAAGTCAAGCGCATGACATCGGAAAAAAAGCGTTTTCCATGAGTAAGAAATGTCTCCACGCCATTAGATTCTTAGTCAAGAAATTCAAGAAAGTCATGTGGTTGAGAAAAAAAGCTTCAGTAAGGAAGCCCTTCATCACAAGGTTACTTTACATTTACAGCGTAAACTGTTGGCTAATAAACCCTTCATTGAAAGATGTGTTATTCCAGATATACCCTAAAGTCCTTTCTAAATTTTTAACTAATCACACCCTCTTATGGCACAAATGGGTCAGAAGGCTTCGTGAGAGCTTATATTAACGAATAAGCTAAAAAACCGTAGTGGGTGATGTTGATACATAGATATACGATTCTATTATTATCCGCTAATTCTTGCAGAGCAATCTCAATTTCAACATTTTCTCATTTTAGGATATGTGTGCGCGGTTCCTTATTCAGTCTCACGCCCTTATAAAACCGGCCGCCAACCACTTTCTGCGGCGACCGGCTACTTCAGGAGTGACCTACAACTAGATATGGCAGTGACCAGTCAACAAGACAACGAAGTTGCTATGCTGTTTGGCAAAGGGGATGGAACCTTGCAGACTCAAATGAACTATACGGTTGGCATCTTTCCATCGTCTGTAATATCCGGTGATTTCAACAATGATAGCAAACTGGATCTGGCAACAGCCAACCAACACGACAATACCGTTAGTGTGCTGCTTGGAAAAGGAGATGGAACCTTTCAGACTCAAATGAAGTATGCAGTTGGTAGCGACCCACGTTGTGTAATATCAGGCGATTTCGACAATGATAACAAACTGGATCTGGCAACGGCCAACTCTAATGACAATACCGTCAGTGTGCTGCTTGGCAAAGGAGATGGAAGCTTTCAGACTCAAATGAACTATACGATTGGTATCACCCCATCGTCTTTAATATCAGGCGATTTCAACAATGATAACAAACTGGATCTGGCAACGGCCAACCAGGGAGACAATACCATTAGTGTGCTGCTTGGAAAAGGAGATGGAACCTTTCAGACTCAAACGAACTATGCGGTTGGCAATTTTCCATCTTCTGTAATATCCGGTGATTTCGACAATGATAACAAACTGGATCTGGCAACAGCGAACAACTACGACAATACCGTTACTGTGCTGCTTGGCAAAGGAGATGGAACCTTTCAGACTCAAACGAACTATGCGGTTGGCAATATTCCATCTTCTGTAATATCCGGTGATTTCGACAATGATAACAAACTGGATCTGGCAACAGCGAACAAGTACGACAATACCGTTACTGTGCTGTTTGGCAAAGGAGATGGAACCTTTCAGACTCAAATGAGCTATGCGGTTGGTAGCTATCCATCTTCTGTAATATCCGGTGATTTCGACAATGATACAAAACTGGATCTGGCAACAGCCAACTGGGACGACAATACCGTCAGTGTGCTGCTCGGCAAAGGGAACGGAGCCTTTGTGCCTCAAATGAACTATGCGGTTGGCAACTACCCATCGTCTGTAATATCAGGCGATTTCAATAATGATAACAAACTGGATCTGGCAACAGCCAACTGGGACGACAATACCGTCAGTGTGCTGCTTGGCAAAGGAGATGGAGCCTTTCTGACCCAAACGATCTATACGGTTGGTATCAACCCATCGTCTGTAATGTCAGGCGATTTCAATAATGATAACAAACCGGATCTGGCAACGGCCAACCAGGTAGACGATACCATCAGTGTGCTGCTTGGAAAAGGAGATGGAACCTTTCAGACTCAAATAAACTATGCGGTTGGCAGTCTTCCATCTTCTGTAATATCAGGCGATTTCAATAATGATAACAAACTGGATCTGGTAACGGCCAACCAGGGAGACAATACCATCAGTGTGCTGCTTGGAAAAGGAGATGGAACCTTTCAGACTCAAATGAACTATGCGGTTGGCAATTTTCCATCTTCTGTAATATCAGGCGATTTCAATAATGATAGCAAACTGGATCTGGCAACAACCATCCAGTTGGACAGTACCGTCAGTGTGCTGCTCGGCAAAGGAGATGGAACCTTTCAGACTCAAATGAACTATACGGTTGGTAGATACCCATCTTCTGTAATAGCCGGTGACTTCAACAATGATAACAAACTGGATCTGGCAACAACCAACCAGCTCGACAATACCGTCAGTGTGCTGCTTGGCAAAGGAGATGGAACCTTTCAGACTCAAATGAACTATAAGGTTGGTAAATACCCATCGTCTGTAATATCCGGTGATTTCAACAATGATAACAAACTGGATCTGGCAACAACCAACCAGCTCGACAATACCGTCAGTGTGCTGCTTGGCAAAGGAGATGGAACCTTTCAGACTCAAATGAAGTATGCAGTTGGTAGAGATCCACGTTGTGTAATATCAGGTGATTTCAACAATGATAGGAAACTGGATCTGGCCGTGGTCAACTTTGGGTCTGAGGACTCGTCTGTTTTGCTAAACATCTGCACTAAGGGACCATGAAACGTTCAATTTAGCGACGTGTGCACCAATTGTTAATGATGCATTAGGACTAACCATCTACTGTGATAGAATATCATTTCCCTGATTTGTTTTTCAATATGATTTGTGTCCAAATATGTGTGTGTGAATTCACTTTCTTTTTGGTAGTTTGGTGTGTTAAGGGCTCTTCTCTCTCAGAGTGAAATCTTCATGCGTTAAAAAGTAAATCTGGAGACAAGGACATGGAAAGGTAGCCTAAAATATCTGCTTTCAGAATCTGTATTGGATTTGGGCCTAGCATAATGCACATGATCGGCATAATGATCATAATCGGCATAATGCTCAGTTTTACTAATCGAATAGGTTGAAAAATGATACCATTATTTTGCTTCTCATAATTATATCGATCGATAAGCGTTCGGGAGAATGCCTTGAATGGACACTGGTAATTTAATAGTTGACATGTATAATCAAAAAGAACTGAATATGTCAGTCCAAAAGAATCAGATAAATAAAAAACTTTCACTGGACTATTCATGGACGAACTGCTGATTTTCCGCCATCGGCTTCGTAATGAACTCCAAGACGAGTGACCATATAAAAGTGAACACGATTTACATACCCCGGTCATAGCTACCGCTCAGATAATTTTAAAACAATCAATAATATGAACCGACTTGCAGCGATACAAACTAAGTAATTCATTACAATCAACACAAATGTTAGTGAATGGAAGCAAAATCATATCATTTAAGACATCAACTGTAACATGATTCACATCCACCATAATATTCTTTTCAGCAAAATCAGTTACTAACAACACCCGATTAACAAAATCTTTATTCATTGCAATAACATTTGTCACCATTAGAATATCTTCGCTACTATGATTACTATTATAACGACCATTAACTAATTCCTTTATGAGTTGTGTTCGGGCATCAGACGACAAGATCATTGACGAAAGATTTGACAATTTAATATACAAGCGACAGATGTAAATCAGAGAAATTAATCCAACAGAAGAACAAAGTACTTCTAAAATACCTTCACTATCTGACATCTGAAACCGAAGACAACTTACAACAAAGACTTATAATCGGTGCTAAAAACCCACCCGCCATATTAATAGACGATCGCTCAATTCTAGGCATCCCTACTACTCATAAAGCTTAAACAATGTCAATGGCTACTTATGCACATTTACCGCGTGTGATCAACCTTCCATGGTACTCTAACCCGCTACGATCGCTCTGTGCATGTCTATATCGCGTGAGATTAACCTTCCGTGACATCACTTTTTTCTGACCAAACGGCTGTTGTAGAAATAAAAATCAATCAATCAATCAAACCCTCACTTGTAAAGAGCCCCTGTGTGTCTCTATAAGGTGTGGGATCAACCTTTCGTCTCCCCATCAGTTACCGAGATCGCCCTATGTGTGTCGATAGCACTGTCACACAGTGGGCATTTTTTGCTAGAGCAAGCGGACTTTAGCTTTATGAGCGAACTAAAATTTCTTGAACCATTTTTTTATAGGTTTTTCATGATCCTCTTTCTAATGGCATAAGAGTTGGGTTTTG